AAAATTTATATAACTCGAATCAAATCAAATTGAAAGATTTTATAAAATAAATTTGACTCAACTCAATTCGAAAAAAAAGAGTTGAATAGAGTTAATCTTTAAACTTGACTCAACTTGACTCATTCAGAACTCTAAATATGACATTAGCTTTTTATACTTATTGAAAATAAAATTTATTATATATAACCTATATTATTAAAAAAAAAATAATATAATATAACATATATATTTATTTAATTAATTAAAAAATTATTAATAATATTCAATAATATCAATTTATTCTAAAATTTTTTCTATAATAGGAATTAATTTTTTAATTCTTTTTCATTATCAGAATCACTTTCTATTTTTGAATTATAATTTTCTAATTTATTTAAATGAATAGTGATTACTTTATGTCTTTTTTTTAGTTCAGTTATAATTATTGTATATTAAAATGACCTTTTTGAAGATTTGATATTTTTTTGTATCAAGAAGTAGCTTTTTTGTACATTTTCAGATTCATTATCAAGTTCAAAATCTGCTTATATGACTTCATCATCAAAAGATATTTTAGAATCTTTTTTAAATGGAAAGTCTTTAATAATAATTGACTTATTCTTTAAAGAAAACTGTAATAAGTAATTTTTTTGCCTTAACTGATATTCTATTAGATAAAAAATTATAAAATTCAATTAATTTTTTTTATCTTTTTTTATAAAAAAAGTATGCTAAAAAAAATTTGTTGTCTAAAAAATTTTGTATTTTATAAAAATTAGAAATTAAATCATTTTTTATTAAAACTTTTATTAAATATTGAAAAAAAGTAATACTAAAGTCCTCTTAAAATCAAAGTTAAAGACATTATAAAAAGAAAATTTTTTATCAGCTATTTTAAAAAAGATTAAGCTCAATATAATTTAATTACAGTATAACTATATGTAATTGAACTATGTAAAATTGACCCAATATATTCATTTATTTTAGATATCAAATTCATAGAGTATATTAGAAATAAATCAATTTTAAATTTTTATTTTTCTCAAATTAGTGATTAAATTTTAAAAATCTCTTCATTAATTTAAATTACAGGTTACAAATAACATAAAAATAAAGAGATTTTATTCAAAAATACTAATATTTATTTTTTAATAACAAATTAAAATTTGCTTACAAAATTTACTGTGACTAAATGATATAGTCAATAGTTTTTATTTTATAATATGTAAAAAAATTTAAATTAACTGATAATTTTATTATATCAATTAAAATACTGATTATTTATTTAATTATAAATAAAAATACTAACTTGTTTAATAAAAGTATTTTTATAAATAAAATATAACTATTAAAAATTTTTTGCAATTTGTTTTGGATACATTTGAATTAAAGTTGTAAAATATTAATTTTGAAGTATATTTTAAAATATAAAATTTGATAATAAAAAAAGATGAGAAAAAAATATAAAATTTATGAAATATTATTACATAAGAGAAAATAATAATAATAATAATCCAAAGAAGACAATGATTCTTAGAAAATCTTTTATATCTTATATGTCTTCTATATCATCTATATTATTTATTTCTTTTACTTAATATATTATTTTTATTTATTTTATCTTATTTATATTATTTATTTATTATATTATATTTATTTCATTTATTATATCAATAACTTTATGTATTTTATTTTATATTACTTTTAGTTTAGCAGTATTTTTAGAGATAATTTATTAAAAAGTTTACTTTAATTTTCCTAACATACTTGTACAATACAGAATGTTAACTAAAGTAGTACTTAATTATTATTATTATTAAATAAACCATCTACCAATCAACACTACTTCTAAAATTAATTATAAAATTAACCTTCTGCTTATCATTTAAATTATCACTTTGCTTATCACTTAAAAACATCTTAAAGAACTGACTATAACAATATCAAAAAAATATAGCATTTTTATAAAAAGTAAATAAGAAAAACTAAGATTCTTTAATCTAAATAATCTAAAAAATAAAAGAAATATATAATTAATTTTATCTAATATTTATTATTATCATTATTATATTTCTTTAATCTTAATAAGATATTAAAAATTTACAATATACTTTAATATTATTGATTATGTAAAATAAAATTTATCATATAAAAAATTATTTTATATTTTTTTAAAAAAGTGATCTAGCAGATTACATAAACTGAAAAATTAAATTTATGTAATCTTACTTTAACTTAATTGAATTTAAAAAAATTTCTATAAGAAAATTTAAATAAAAATATTTATTATAAATAAATAATTTAATAATATAAATATATTAAACTTAAAAACTATCAAATATAAAATAATAATAAAATAAAATTATAATTAGATTATACCTTATATATTACAAAAATCGTCATATTTTATTATATTGTAATTATAAAAATATGTATTTTTATAATATAATGTTTGTCTTAAATAGATATTATAAAAATTCAAAAATATAAATAAATTAAATTATTAAATTAAAAGAATTTTAAAATGTTTTATAACTCATTTCTAAATTTTCAATCTTTTTATTTTAAGTTATTATTTACAAAAAGATAACTGAATAATTTAACCAAATGTGATTATTTATATATTATTGTTTTAAGGATTGAATTTTGATAAATAATTTTTATATAAACTTTAAATTGGTCATTAAAAAAACTTTTAATAATATTTTATCAGATAGAAGATAATAAATAAGGCCGCACCTTTTCTCACCAATAATTTATTATTAGAACGTATCGTGATATATTCATTGCAATGCTAATTTACTTTTAGTTTTTTCATAAACCATGTATGTAATTGCCGCTGCGGGTATCACCTAAGTATAAAGATTCTTAGTATCTAACGAAAAATAATAATTGAACCTTTATCTTATTTCTTTTCTTTTTACCTTTGTTAATGACGGTGCCAACCCTTTGTAGAAACCGCGTAATCCTTCGTTAGCATAAGTTTTTTTGATCACATCAAATGCTCCAGAATAAGTTTGTGGGTGTCCGGGAGTTCCCTGCGCTTGTAACCTAATAAGAAGGAAATTAAAATTTGATATCTTAAATAGAAAATGATGTGAATAAATGTAAATATTTTATATACCGTGTTCTGACAAGCGCTAAAGGATATACAATAGTCGCGCCAATACATCCTGAAATCATACCACAACCTAAAGAAACAAAAACACTTGTTTGTTTTGGTTCCATCCCACCATGAAGTGATTTTTCACGTTTAATATAAGCCAATTTAAGGCCTTCGTAAACGCTCATATCCACTGCAGCATAAGGAAAAACTCCAATTAAAGATGGTATTAATCCTTTATAAAATGAACGAACCCCTTGTGTTTTCCACATTTCACTCGCTGTCTTTAACAAGATATTTCCATCGGATGAAGATTTTGATGATACACCTGATGAACTCATAAGACGAGTTTTTATGGTCTCTAAAGGATATATAGCGAATTGTGATATCACACCACCAAGACCACCTGAAAGGAAACGTCCAGACATTCCTATTGAGTTAATATCTTTTGTTCCCATTAGATTTGCAACGGCAACCTTGGATTGTTCATAAGCAAAAAATTTTATTGCACTTTCTGGTGCAATTTTGGCAACATTCAATCCGTTACCACGAAAAAAATTAATTAAACCTCCACTTGAATATAAATTTTTTATGGCATTAAGAATATTCTTATGTGCGGAAGTAACCAATCTTTTTGATACCTGCGTTTCACCTCGAATTTTCTTTGCTGTAAGGAGTTGAGGTGATGCCGTCTGAATTTGAAGATAAACTTTGAGTCGATCAAGTGGTGCCGTTGCAGTGCGACTGACTGCACCAGCAATTGCACCAGCAAGAAGATATTTTGGATTGGTTGGTGGTATTATCACTTCACCATCTATGCTAACTTGGGCTATGACCTGATAATATTCGAAAATTTCCGACATTGTTGTTTCCCGAGGAAGAAGCTATGAAATACGCAGAAATTAGTAAATGAATTCAATATGGTATCAAGCGAAGAATGGGAAGTTAAATCTTTGCTTACCAGAAGAAAATCTCTCCATTCAGAGAAATTACACCATTTTGATTTTTATCCATGGTCTTAATAAACTTCTTTAATTCTGCCTGCGTACAACTAATGCCTTATAATAAAGAATAATGGATTATCAAGATAAAGAGAAGAACAAAGACGCGTCAATTCACGGTAATTGATTCTTACCAGCCTTTTGTAATGCAACTTCCAACTCTTCAGGTTGTAAATTCATATCATTAGATTTATCAATTTCCAAAAATAATTTTAATAATTCTTTTTCTTTTTCTTCGACAAAGGTTTTAAATTCATCAAAATCCACTACACCATCCGAGGATACATCACATTTTTGTAATAATTCTGAAGCATATTTATTTTTTGAAGGATGATTTTTTAATCTATTAAGGCCTTTTAAAAGACTTTGACGATCTAATACACCGGTTTTATCATAATCTAATTCGTCAAATAATTTTTTGATACGCACAATTCTTTCAGCTTCATTCTCGGAATTTTCTGAATTAGCGGCTAGTGATAATGATGAATCATTATTAGTTGCCACAGTTGTTGAGGCTGACATTTTATTATTATTATTATTATTATTATTATTATTATTATTTGTTTATATAACTCGGGGGAAAAGAAACTAATCTCGGATGATATGATGTCAAAAAAAAAGTCCGACATAAATAACTTGAATTAGGTTAGCGTATCATTGGCCAATCAGTTTTTGACAGATGAGTGAATGTCTAATTGTATAAAAAGGTGCAAATTAAAGATATTTCACGCTATTTTTTCTCGTCTTGTCCATTTAGATTTATTAATAGAAGATGGTTAAATACACAGTAATTGCTCGCGTGTCCGATGGTAAAATTGAGAAATATATGTATAAATTTAGTGGTTATTTTTTTTTAGAATCAATTTGAAGCAAACATTGCTTTTCTTATAGGACTTCCCCTGGCAGCCTCGGTTGAAGATGATCAGGTCTCAAAAACCTTCATTTTGATTACAAGCACGATTTAATTGATATTCAAGAAAGCATCAAATAATTTATAACATACTCCTTGCTGGATCAAATAGCTACATAATAAAAACAATTTAACATTTGTAAATTTAAAGGAATATTCAGATTATAAATTAATTATTTACTTACTGAAAATAATAATTTCCTGACTCGATGGAACACCTCTCTTCAGAATTCTCATTCATTTTCTTAAAGAGAAGTTTTGCTTTATTCTTGTAGTCTGCGAGCTCTGCTTCTCCATTCTGTTGTAAAAAGAAGTAAAGTTATAAATTATTTGATGCTTTCTTGAATATCAATTAAATCGTGCTTGTAATCAAAATGGAGGTTGTTTGG